TTCAGGGCTTAAGGCTCATGTTTCGGCTGCACAAAAGGAGTTCCGAATTGGGGGTCCATACAATGACGACGCTTGCTACCTTCGGGGTCCCCATATATGTACACATACCTACATACCATACATGCATATATACATACAGACATGCATACATACATGCATAAATACATGCATAAATACATGAATGAATAAATAAATAAAGAAATGTTTGCAAATATAGCCACCCAAAGATATGTATGCGTGTAAGTACATGCGCCAAAAAGGAAATATATTTGTTGTTTTCAGTTACTTACTTGTTTGTGTCTGTATACAGATACACATACCTGTGACATATGAGTGTCCCACCGGTCAGATGAGATGCGAGATCCGTAGATTTAGGCCTGGCTTTGGGTAGGTAGCAAATTTATTTATTGTCCTCTTTCGAGTCGCAACAGAGACCATCACTCCAGGAGTTCAAATGAGAGAGTAAACGTAACCTCAACAGTACCAATGATAGTCATAGCAACAGTAATCCTGATAGCACAAGCAATAGCAATAGTAATAGCACTAGCAATAATCATAGTAATGGTAACAGGGATGTAGAGAACTACGAATCTTGCCCAGGACCTCCACAACTCCTTACTTTGGGAATACCCCTTAACTATCCTTATATCATCTTAGGCTTCCCGCTGCAATTTACAGAAGATTCCTGAATTAAGGCACTTGGCATCTTTGGGCAGAGAGTGTTGGGTCGGGTTTCGAGGTATGGGTCAAGGCTCCAGCAACGCGTGACCTCCTAAGCCCTAAAGCCCTTTTATGAAAAAACCCCTGAGAGCTCCTTCCCAATGACGCACAACGTCATCCCATTCGCCTCGAGCAGTATCAACCCTCTCGGGGAATCTTTAAGGTCTGGGGAGCTAGAGTTTTGGGGTTTCGGGCACAAGGTTCAGGGTGCAGGGTTTCGGGTTTCATCATGTTTCGCTTTAAGCATACAGTGCAAGCCTTACTAAAGCCTTGGGGCCAAGCCATATCAAACTCTGCAGTCACAGAGGGGAAGCTGGAGGTATGTAGGTTGAACCACGGGAAGGCGTTGGCGAAGTATTGAAGCTCTGATATGAAGCCCTGAACTAAAGAGAACTCACCCCTAAACCCCAAACCCTAAACCCAGATGCACCATGGACTGACGACGTCTTCGCTCGCACTCAGATGGCGACCAACTTAGGGTTCAGGATTTAGCGCTTCGAGTTTGTTCCTGACGGTCGAGGGATGTCCTAAAGACACCCTGAAGGATCCCGGGACATGAGACTGAGCAACTAGGCCTATAAGTAAGGTACCTTGATTTTCAGCTACCAGTAGACCCAAGTAGGGTAGCCTGTTCTTCCGAGCAAAGGGCACATCCGAACCGGGAACTGTCTCTAAGCCCCTTAAACGATTGTCAAAACCAAAACTAAACCAAACCCGAAACCCTAAACCCTAAACCCTAAACTAAGCCCGAAACCCGCGACTCTATCAAACTTAAACCAGTTTGAAACCAAAACAAACGCCTAAAAACCCTTCTCCCGTTGGCCGGCCGAGTAGAACTCGTCGTAAAACTTCTGCATTTCCTCATAAAGATCGAGACCTTCCAGGCATTACGGGGTTTCGGGCTTAAGGGCTTTGGGGGTTTAGGGCTTAGCGGGCTTAATTGGGGTTTCGGGGTTTTGAATTGAGGAGGGACTTAGGATGGTTTAGGGTTTAGGCGACTTTGTGTCCTTTCCACAACGGTCAATGTTTCTGGCATGGGTCCCTGATTTCAAGAAACCGCATATCAAATCACCCCCTTAGTAAATGCTAAGCGTCTACGACCCCAAACAATGAACCCTAAATCCTAAACTCCTAAACCCTAAACCCCGAAACCCTAAACCCAACGCCCCTCAACCCTACACCCGTTTAGGGTCTAGGGCTTAGGATTTAGGTTCTAGGGCCGTGGGCTTGGTGCCGGGCATCTGCTAGGGGGGGGGGGTTCTCAAATTTCCGGCACGTTAACACCCTTACAGATGGAGTGTATGAATGATAATTAAGTCTACATAGAGAGCCCGTTTGCTTGAACCCCTAACACCAAAAGCCCTAAACCCTAAACCCCTAAGCCCTTCAGGGGTTTAGGGTTTCGGGTTTAGGGGTTCAGGGTTTAGGGTTTATAGGGCTTATAGGGTGTTTAGGGGTTTGGGGTTTAGCGGCCTTAGCCCTAAACCCTGAACTCTGGTAGCCTCACAGACCCGTCAGTCTTTCTGCCCTACAACTCTGTAGCCTTCATTCCTCAACCTAAACTCCGAAACCCTGAACACTTGGACCCCCTAAACCCCTAGAAAAGGCCTGAAACCAAAGCTATACAAGGTTTCGATAGAGGTTCTAGAAGGGTTCTGAAGGAGTTCGGAAGGGACTAAGGCTTAGAGTTTCGAGTTTTTTGACGTTGGGTCTGGGGGTAATCCTTAGCTGAAGCCTTACTATCAGAGTCTCAAGAATTGGAACCGGGCCTTCGGTAAATCGTGTAAGTCATTTTGGGATGACAAGAGATGGTCTTCCTAACTGTACACCCTAGACACTAAACCCTAAACTCCTGAGCTTGACCTAAGGAACCCCCAGACTCCAAAACCGCTTCATTAAGGACTATACCTCGAATTACACAAGGACCTTTGCTTGAGTTTAAGGCATATTCCTCAGTGAAAGTAATAGCCAGAAAGTTGTCACATGAATATCCTCATGCCCTTAAGCTGAGGAAAAGGTAATCCCAGCGTTCTCCCTCCATAATCCATGTTCCAACTATCGGGGGTTCACTGTAAGACCCTAGACCCTAAACCCTAAACCCAAGGGGTATCGGAGTGCAAAGGCCTTTCTCCTTCGGGTCGTCCCGCAGCATCTTGTTGTTGCCGCAGGCCTCGCTGATTGCTTTTGTGGGTTGAGGTGTGGGCTGAGGGGCTTGTCATTGCGTTTTGCAAAAGCTGGGTCCTAAACCCTAGAACCCCTAAAGGTTTGGAAATTCAGTCCACCCCCAACCCAAAGCCCCCAGACATTCAAAGCGGTTTATTGGTTTAGGGGTTTAGGGGCTTCGGGTTTAGGGTTTAGGGATTAGGAGTTGGGGTTTAGGGTTACAAGGCGTAACAAAGTTTTGTGTGGGTTTTATGGCTCTGTGCATCCGGTTTCGTGGATAACCCTGTGGTGCAGCGCTCGTTGTCGTCCGTGCGCGTGGTCTTCGTGATGGTCCTGGTGGTCCTGACGTCGTGGTCGCCCCGGTATCTTCATTGGAGGTGTGCATGGTCACATGGTGCGAGATCTTTCACCGTTTGGGGATGTACAGTGGCACAACAAGGTCTTTTGGGGTTTTCGCTCAGTGCCACGAAGTGTTTGACAGTATAGGGACCTGAATAATTGGAACAGGTCTTCGGGTGTCAATTACCACAAAAGAAAACTGAATACGAAAAACACTTGCAATCAGCTGCTGAAGACAAGCTCACTAGCACCGATGTCTCCTTGTGCTCGTAGGGCCGTAGCGGAGTCCGAAGCTAGCGACTGGAAAGGTAAGGGGACGTTATTGCTACTTATTCAAAGCCCTACATTGAACCCTACAAACTTAATTCTCAAACCCTGAACCCAAGCCAGACAAACCCTAAACCCTAACCCTGAACCCTACAAGCCAGACCATCAACCTTAGGAATTCGAATCCCCAAAAGCCCTACAAGCTCTGAAGTACAACCCAGGACTCCAGAGCTTTGGTGGGCTTGCTTTTTGGTGCTTCGGGCTCAGCTGCCGACGACGTGGAACGGGTGGTCGGGATTCGCACTCATGTTCAGAATGCCTCCGAGATCTTGTGAGAGTTCAGGGTGTAAGAGTTCCAACAATTAGGGGACCCGAAGGGCTGCGAAACCCTAAAGGAAAGCGAGCCTGGTTCAAAGAGGTACTTAAGGCGCAACTGTTGCATGTACTGCAGAATGCGACACTAGGGGACCCGACCATTGAATGCTAAACACAAGCATCCTTAAACCTTAGACCCGAAACAAGGGATCCCAGGCCATGGTTATGGGGTTCGGTGCTTCCCATGTCCTGTCAGAACCTAAACCCTAAATGCCCCTGCACCCCGAACCACCCTTATCCACCAGGAACCCCTAACCGCACCCTAAACGGAACCCCTGAACCCAAAACCTCAAAGCACTTTACAAGAGGGCGGCCCATGCCCCTCATAAACACGAGGACCTTACAGAACACTTCTCGAACCCAAACCCCTAAACCCTAAACCCTGAAGGGACCCCTCGAAAAGGCTGCCTATGTCCCGCACTCAGCTCCGAACCCAGGAGCCCCTCCTCATCTTAAGCTCTAAGCCCCAAACACTGCAAACTCCAAAGAAAAAAAACTGCCAGAACCCCCTGGTAGAAGCCTTTTAGTAGAAACCGTTAAAGGAACCCTGAACTCCTCTGGATTCTGCACTTGGAACCCTTGCAAACACAATAAACTTCAGATGCTTCTTAAGGAGTAGAGCAACCAAAAAAATAATAGGGTTTACGGTTTAGGATTCAAGGCGTAGGGATAGTATTTCCAAATACTCTAAGTTAAAAGGTGAGTGCAGCCTTGTACAGCTTCGGATCTTTGAGCCTCGTGGTGTTCCGTGTGAAAGCGAAGGTTTCGGTTCGAGCGGGATCCCGATGAAGCACGCTGCCGATGCCCCGGTAGAGGGTTTAGGGTTTAGGGTTTAGAGGGTAGAGGGTTCAGGCCCAGACCCAGAGTATACGGATAATATGCCCGAAGAAAACCCCATGAAGGCACCCTTACTTATATAACCCGTAAAGGGAATCCCCAAGAAAAATAGAGACGGCCGGCCTATGTCCCGCCAGAAACCCCAGACAGGAAGTACCCTGAACCCCAGACCCCCAGCCCCTAGACCCAAACCCAAAACCCCATTCTGGGAGGGAGGGAGATCGTTGCTCGTGTTGTTTTTTTTGGTTTCGGGGTTCAGGGTTTAGGATGATAGTCACAATATACACCCAGCAGCGGGCCTATGTCCCGCCAGAACGGGTTGGTCACGCCGGCTTGGAACTCCGAGTCGACGGCGTTGATCTCCCGGTCGGTGCAGTCCTTCCCCCCCCCCCCGGCTCCAGGGTTTAGGACTCCGACCCCGGTGATGCGGTGCACAAGTCATACGGTTGATGATATGAATCCTGCCCTACCCATAATGAAGAGTATACCTTAATTCCCTTAGTGTAGGGTCCTTACGGTAATGCAGGATTTTTATCATCAACAGTAGGATGCATGTTGTCTTCATGCCGTTTTTATGTGGAACCTCTGATTTTTCACCGCCTACAGCACAGCTGCCTCTACCAGGGCGCAACTGACTTCGCCATGTTCCTGCATTGTACGATGAACGTGCCCAAGCACAGCAGAGTGAAGTACCATCGCAATATAGGAGTTAAGTCATTAAACTGAAATCTGGAGGCGAGCTTCATCTTATCACTTCTAAACTATTTCGGCGACTAGTATTGCGATGACTAGTGGTTAGCCTTACCTGCCTTCTTGCTATCCCTAAACAGTGAAGCACCCAAACCCTAAACCATAAACCCTGAACCCGAAACCCTAAAACCCTACACTCTATACCCGATACTCCTTCGGAGCGCTCTGTCCTTCGTTAACAATGGTTCGGAGAAGAAGCGCGCGAAGCGATCGAGGGCGTCGCCCAAAGCTTCCACTTTGACCTGGAACCTGCGACACGCTCTCCAAGGATAGCATAGAGGGTTTAGGGGTTTAGGGGTTTGGGGGTTTAGGGTTTAGGGGCTTAGGGTTTAGGGTTTAGGGGTTTAGGGTTTAAGGGTTTAGGGCTTGGGGTGTGGGGCCGCTCCCCATTTTTGTTCAGCGAGTACTAAATTACCATAAAAGGTTCCAGCAAGCTACTATAAGGGTCTAGCACAAGCGCCTTAAAGGGCCAGAGTAGGGTTAAGAAATGTGTAGAATATACCAAAGTTCCCATTATTCCTCAAGGCCTATACGGGGATCCTTTCGCCCTTTAGGGCTTCAGGGTTTAGGATTTAGGGTCTAAGGCTTCGGATTGGGTTTCGGGACCCTAAACCCCTTCGGGTATAGGGTTTCGGGACCCCACACCCCCTTTGTAGGGCTTAGGGTTCATGAAAATGTATTGAGATGGCTTGCATTGGTTTAGAGTGGTTCTCAGACCCTAAGGCTCTGCAATGCTGCACGCCACTTAGTGGATATCCCATCACAAGGCCCAGTTTCAGACAGATTTGCTATACTTCTCCTCGCGCTCGCCAGGTGAGTTTACAAGGGGCTGCAAATACAGGCAGACTCAGACGGAATGCAGCCTAAACTCAAAACGAAGCCTAAACCCCAAACAGCATTCCCTAAACCCGAAGCCTGTCCTGCTAGAAAGCGATTATAAGCCCTTATGACCTCTTATCGCAGATTCTTTCAAGGAGCCCTGAAAGGAACGTTGCTTCAACCCCAAACCCACTTCGACTCTCTTTGAGATCACGGCATGTAGTTGGTGGTCCAGCAGCCTGTGTTCCTCGGTTGCTCGGGGATTTACTGCATGGAACGTGGCAACCTGGAGCACGCTGCTGGTAGGGGATCCCTCAAAGGACTCATAAGGGTTCCATGCTATGAGTGTTCGGTGTATAGGGTTGAGAGTGCCGGGTTTCCGAAACCGCAAAGGGGACCCTAAGCAAATCCCTCTAAAGGGGATAAATCGCAAGCCCTTAAAGGGACCCTAAATCCTAAACCCTACAGGGGACCCTAAACCCAAAGCCCTGAAGGGGATTTGACTCGGACTTGGCGTTCTACCGGCTCAACCCAGCAGAGTTTAGAGGTTTAGGGTTTAGGGCACCCTAAACCCTACACCCTAAATCCTAAGCATAAACCCCCAATTCTTAATTTTGAACCTAAACTCAGGCGGAACACGTTTTGCGAGACCAGTACCCCAAATCGCAAGCATTTGTCCTGAGCCCTTTTGCTTGGGATGGGACCCTGCCCTGCCCTGCCCTGCGCTGCGCTGCCCTGCCCTGTGCCCTGTGCCCCGTGCCTGGGGTGGGAAAGAAAGAGAAACCCTCTATAGGCAGGCTTTCGCAGCTCGTCGCTTTAGTACCATGCACTCGACACAAACTTGTCGCAAGACACTAGCCCCTAAGCGCTATTCCTCGGCAAACCCTGAACCCTAAATCCTAAACTCTAAAACCTAAAACCTGAACCATAAACCCTAAACCCTAAACTTTAAATCCTAAACCCTAAACCCTAAATCCTAAACCCTATACCCTAGACCCAAAAAGAAGGACAACCTTCAACCGCTTATCTGCGGCGAAGTGTCGCGTTGGCTGCGCCACCATTCTGCTTGATGAATTCGTGGTATTCTCCTCCAGCCCTAATATATAGGGGCCTTAATAATTGGAATAGGGTTTTTTGCATGCGTTCTACTCTAATTATAACAAGGAACCCCCAAAATAGTATTAGGCTAGTCATCTATTACGGCCCCTATATTACACTCACAAGATCGACGGTTTAGGGTTTCTGTGGCATCCGCAAAGTGCAGAGTTTGTATGTCGATTTGGGTCTGTTGACAGATTTGTTCCTGAGGAGACGATAGGACGAACCCTAAACCGGACGAACCCTAAACCCTAAACCCTAAACCCGAACCATGCTAGCAAGTTGCCGCCCGAAACCCCGACATCAAACCGCGGAGCCCTAACCAGACCTTCTTGTAACCCTAAAGCTGTTGCCAAAGCCCTAAACCCACAAGCCTTTAGCCCTATAAAAGAACCCAACCTTAAGTCAGACTCAAACCCTAAGCCTCGAACTCCCAGACTCAGGTGGGAATTTCAGAAAGCAAGAGCCCCTCACAGACACCCTCAGTGTCTTTAGATAGTAGGACTCTCATAAAACATGCCGCAAATAAAAAAAAAAACACGGACGTTATGACGGCCTACTCCTACTCCCTACCCTTAACCGCCGAACCCTAAACCTTGAACCCCAAGCCCTAAACCCTAAAGCAACCATAGATCCCTTATAAGTGGAACCCCAAACAAAAAGCGCCACCTCCAACCCCACAGCCTAGAACTTTTAGGGTATCCTTTCAAGGAATACTTAGGGTACTTAGGGTATCCCTTAAAGGAAGCCGGTTGGGTCGTGTCCTTCTTTGGGGTACTTCTTCGTACCCGTGAAGAGCATGTGCTCCAAGAAGTGCGCCAGACCGGGAAGATCTTTTCCTTGATGGTTCTTGGGGCTTGTTTGAGGCTTTTTGGTGGTGGTTTATTGGGGTTTAGGGTCTTGGGTTTAAGGGCTTTGGCTCTTGGGGTTGAATAGGGTTTAGGGTTTTGGGGCTTGTTTGAAGCTTTTCGGGTGATTTAGGGCTTTGTAGGAGTTGTACGTTTGAGGCTTTTCGGGTGATTTAAGGCTTTATAGAAACTGTGTAGGGTTTGGGTGCGGAGCTTTGGCGGGTTTTGGACGGATGTGGGATGGCTTTGGTGGTTTAAAGTGTTAAGGGCTTAGGGTCTTGGGTTTAAGGGCTTTGGCTTTTGGGGTTGAATAGGGTTTAGGGTTTTGGGCTTAGTGTTTAAGGGTTTAGGGTTTTGGGGTTTAGCGTTTAGAGACTACGATTCGCTGGGCGAAGAAAACATACGTCCAGCAGTGTGTTTTTCAACCTGGATAAAAATCCCACCTACCCCCAAAGAATCCCGTAACGTTACGAAAATACAGAGTTTTCACATTCCCGCTCCTCCATGGAAAAACCCTTGCGACACCAATTACATTTCAAGAATGTACCCCAAATCCGGAAGGCCAGCCTAGAGTAGCCCCTAAACCCTAAAGGCCAAGCCAGAATAAGCCCTAAGGCACCTGTAGGGCCTCAACCCTACAGCCAGTTGCCCACGAACTAGTCTGGGGTTGGAAACTATAGGAAAGAGAGGTTTGGGAGCTTGTCGAGGGTTTAAGTTTAAGGGTATAGGGGTTTGGGGCTCAGGGGTTGAAGGGTTTAGGGGTTTGAGGTTTAGGTGTGTAGGGCTCAGGGTTTTGGGTTTAAAACTTGGAGGTTTGGGATCTAGGGTAAGAAAAGATCCTTTTCGGGCTGTACACAAGCTCTGTCATCGTGCTGCCAGGATCCGACAGCGGTTCCATAATGATCCTATGAGGGTTCTACCATACGTCTACAAGGATTCTAAACCCTACAACCTGAGCCCCTCAACCCTAAACCCTAAGCCCTAAACCCTAAGCCCTAAACCCCTAAACCCTGAACCGTAAATTTAAACCCTAAGCCCTAAACCCTAAGCCCTAAACCCTAAACCCCAAATCCCAAACCCAAAACCCCTAAGCCCACAAACCCCTAAACCCCAAAAACCCCTAGATCCCTACAGCCTCGAGGATCCTTCGAAGGGGTTTTTTTGGGATTTTAAATCGAAGCGTCGAGGACTGACTGGTTCTTAGGCTGGTTTAAGGGGTTTAGGGTTTAGGGTTTAGGGGGCTCTTGTTGGGGGCTTTGGGTAGGGTTTTAAGGGGGGGTTTAGGGCTTTGTGGGGTTTGTAGGGCTTAAGGCTTTTAGGGTTTAGGGCTTTCGGGTTTTCGGGTGTATGGCTTAAGGCTTTTAGGGCTTGTAGGGTTTTGGGTTTGGATTAGTAGGGAATGGAGGAATGGGTTCTGGGACTTCTGTAAGGGGACCTTAAGGGGCTATCATAGGGATCCATTCCCCATTCCCTACTAAGAACCAGGGAGAGGAAGGACGTCAGTCGGAGTTTGGGGCTTCCCATATGGAACCCTTATAGACCCCTTTAAGGAACCCCCCAAAAGGAGCCTTTATAGATCCCTCTAAGGAACCCGCAATAGGAACCCTTATAGATCCCTCAAAAAAAGACCCTCCTATAGGAACCCTTGTAGATCCCTTGAAGGAACCCCCCCCTTAGGAACCTTTAAAGGTCTATTCCTTAATTAAGGTGCTTTGGAGCCTCGGCATGGTGTTCCGGGTTGTGGATTTTCGGTGGTTGGTCTTCGGCTTTGGGGGTCAGGCTTATGTTGGTTTGCGGCCTAGGGTTTAGGGCTTAGGCTTTAGGGTTTAGGCTTTAGGCCCCTTTAGGCTTTAGGCTCTAGGCTTTACGGTCTAGGATTTAGTTTGAAGGGTAGAACATTCATGAAGTTCGAAAGATTTAAGGAACCGCCTTTCATTAAGGGCTACTGGATTTTCTGGGCACCCTTAACTCCAAACCCAAGAGACACTGAACATAAAAACCGCTAAACCTAAAGCAGCCCTCAAGCAGTGAAGCTTACAACCCGTTTACACAAACAATGCAACTCTCAAACCCTGTAAAACCCTTATCGAAACAGCTGCACAGACCCTTACAAAACTCTACATACAACCCCTAGAATGTTCAAGTATAAGACCAAAACGCATATAAACCCCAAACACTAACCCGCAAACCCTAAACCCAAAACGCATAAACCCCAAACCCTACCCAATAAGCCTTCGTGGCCACTGGACACTCTGATGCCGACGAGGAACTCTCGTAGCACATGCCGACCTGGCTGTTATGGCACAATGGGAAGTCTTAAAACTGGAGGGTTTGCTTGAAGGATACTGTAAGGTGCTGCGTAAGGATTTACTTCTCCAGGGGTTTCAACACAATTTCTCGTCGGGCTTCCAGGGGTTCATTCTGGCGCTTATTACATGTGAAGAGTAAGTGTCTAGAGAAGTCCCTTCCTGGGGGTCTTTACGTTAGCAATACTGGTATTTAGGGGAGTTCTTTTTGGAATGCCATGCACCTCCGACTGTCTTCCTGCACAGCGGGCAAATGTATGTGGTGGTGTGCGGGTAGGCGCAGTCATCAGACGATCGCCGAAGAAGATGGGGAGCTGCAAGGTGTGTTGGGATGTCCAGCCGTCCGGACCCTTTGGCTAAACATTCGGGAATAGAATGTACGTAGCCTGAATGTTTATTGCCAGTCTTTAGGTGCCTGAAACTACCAGCTGTCGATCGGCTACACAGGTATACCGGAAGTATGCATGCCTGAAAGATACACACACGTTTTTATCGAAGTAGGGACGCTTTGCCAGATGTTATGTATTAACTTAGTGAAGGCGGTGGGGGGGCGCTACGCCTCTTGCAGCGATTGCAACTTTACTTAGTTACTTGGATTCCTCAGATGGATTAACTGGGGCGTTGTCTGCATAGGCGATGCTAGGTAGGGTGGTGGTGTAGCTCCTGTATCCAGATGAAGTGGGCTCCCTAAACCCTAAACCTTAAATTCTAGTTGACAGTGGCCGGGGACTGGCCCGTCCAGGGTAGAGCCGGACATGGCCCGTAAAGGGAGCAGCTTCCCCCGTCCTCTTGAAGCCGGGAGGTTTAGGGTTTAGGGGTTTAGGGGTTAGGGTTTAGGGTTTAGGGTTTAAGAGGAGCTCCCATGGGAGTCAGCATCAGGTGACCGATCCCGGAATCCCGGATACGTTGACGCAGCTTTGCGCATCCGGAGACGAGGATCGTAAGCAGACTGGGCCGCGAGGAACGGCAACGCAGGGCGATGATGCACTTACCCTTTACCCACCTGCGGACGAGGAAGTTCTGTCGCACAGCTCCACACCCTCAACTGAAGGTGAACGGCGCCCAGAAATGTTCTGTCAGGAGCGATACTCATTCGAGCCAGCTAGGACAGCTTCTGGTGCCCACCGCCAGCCGCCGTAGGCTGCGAGATACTTGGAGTTCAGCGCCTCCACAGGAAGCCGTGCTAGAGTCTCTGACTGCCGCAGAATCTTCGGATTTCGGGGCGGCTTTCTTGAGCCTCCCAAACCCCAAACCCTTACACCCCAAAAAGGCTCGGAGGCCTCAAAAGGTGGGATGAAGGTAGGTATAGGATTAAGGATCCCTTTAGGTAGGGACCATTAACTTGGGAATATCCCACCTACCTTCATCCCACCTTCTGAAGCCTCCGACCATCCCCCGAAAGCTTGGAGATGTAGGCTTTTGAGCGCCCTTTTTCAGAGCCTGAAGCTTCGGATTGCGGAATTACCGGCTGCCAGGCCCAAACCGATGTGCACATCCCCTTCTCTCTGCGAGATGTCTCAGCCCCGAAGATGGTGAACCTTCGATGCTAGGATGCAATCCTGCCAGGTGGAAAGAAGACTCCTAGACCCTAACCGCCGTAGAAAAGGTTATGGGCCAGGCTTGAGGAAGATTTTCAGGCTTGTGGGCTCCAACTATGCATACAAACGCAAGATCCTCCCAAAAAACAAAATATCCTCCAAACAGAACCGCGGAGGACTGGAGGACCGAACTCTAGGCCATCTGATGCTTAGATGGACTCTGAGAGGAGATTGGGGCTTAAGCTTTTGGGTTCTACCAATCATCGGCCCTCTTTGTTACCCACGTCGCTCCCTAAGCCCTACACCCCTAAACCGTCCTAAACCCCGAAACCGACAGACACCCTAAACCCTAAACCCCTACTTCGTCCTAAACCGTAAACCCTAAACCCCTTTGTAAACTGTAACCTGCTATTAAACACAACACCTCCCCCAAAACCCGAGCAGCGCTATAACGGCCCTTAAAAAGGATCCCTATGTAAGAGCCCCAAATCCCCCCAATACCTCCATAGAATCCGAATACCCTAAAGCCCGATGCCCCGGACCCATAAACCCCCAAAAGGAACCTTTAAACACTTGAAACCTAAAATGTTAAGCAGTTCAAACCGTCAAAGCCTAAGCTGCCTTGTGAGAGAAGTCCACATCCCTGCCCCAAACCCTAAACTCTAAACCCTAAACCCTAAACCCCAAACCCCCAAACCAGACGGCTGCACATTGACAGTTAAGGCTGCTCCGGCTTTGTCGCACTTTGCATCGGAGCCGACCACTACCTCTGCATCTTGGGGCTTTAGGGGTTTAGGGTTCAGGGCTCCTAGGTTTAGGGGTTTTAGGGGTTTAGGGTTTAGGGCTCTTAGGTTTAGGGGTTTTAGGGGTTTAGGGTTTAGGGTTTAGGGTTTAGGGGCTTAGGGGTTTAGGGTTCAGGGCTCTTAGGTTTAGGGGCTTAGAGGCTTAGGTTTAGGGGTTTACGGTTTGGGGCTTAGGGGTGTCAGGTCCCGTCAGTTGCGATCACTTCTGCATTTGTTTCGGGAGCTCCTGACGAAGAATCAGACGGCACAGATCGATGTGGCACGGTCCATTTAGATAAAGCCGAACCCTTTAAAGGGTTCTTTTAGGGGTTCCTTACATTCCTTCAAGGGCTTTAGAGGAAGCT